CCGCAATTAGACGGTTCGAACTACTCATATTGGAAGTCTATGATGACAATCTTTTTGAGATCGCTTGGAAAAGGCTTGTGGGAGAGAGTTGAAAATGGCTGGGAGCATCCTGTCCTGCAACAAGCACCCGATCAAGGTAAAGAAACAACAACGAAAATAACAGTTTCTAAAACTAAGGACAACTAGACTGATGCTGAGAAGCTTCAAGAAGAAGCCAACTATTGTGCCTTATATGCGATCATGATGGCAGTTGATCAGACAAGACGCAAGATGATAGTACATTGCAATACTGCTAAAGATGCTTGGAGGGTCTTACAACGTCAATTTGAAGGTTCAACGACTGTCAAAGCGTGCAGACTACAATGGGTAACTCTTGAATTTGATGAGATCAAAATGAGAGATGAAGAGACAATTGACGTATACTATGCCAGATTTTGTGATCTGGTAAACCAAAGCATGATGCTTGGAGAAGAAATCTCTGAAAAACGTCAAGTACAGAAGATTATGAGAACCGTTGTTCCCAGGTTTAGAGAGAAAATCACAGTTCTTGAAAGTTTTCAAAGAGTGGCGTCATTGGATGTTGATGAACATCTTGGAGAGCTCAGAACTTTTGAAATCAACAACAATTATGACAAAGTGAAGAGTAAAGGCTTAGCTCTCAAAGCTGCTGTAGTCGAGGAAAGAGAAGAAATCGATGATGATGAAGGTCCGTTGGCAGATGATAGTGAGCTGAAGGAAGCACTAGCCTTAATCGCGCGAAACTATGGGAAGATGAGTCAAAGGCTATACAAGAACAAATTTGCTGGAAAAAAAGGGGAACAGTTTCAGCAAGAATGTAGTGCAGGACAAGAAAAGTACTATGCCACTCTGAAAATCCGATTCACAACGATTCGAGAAGGATCAATGCAGGGAGTGTCGAGGCTTTGGACACTTCCAGTTTGAGTGTGCTAATCTCAAGAAGAAGAATAAGTCACTGAAGGTAACCTGGGAAGACTCAGATGAAGAGGGCAACGAACCTTCGTTGCACACAAGCAATCTGGCTGTTCATACCTCAGTCAAGAAGTTTATGTGTCTCACCACTTCTCATACTCCGACCAAGTTTGAAGAAAGTTTGAAAGAAACTGAAGCATCTGAGGATGAATCAGATCAAATTGTATGTGTAGATTCAGTTCACTTGCTTGCTATGGAAAAGTGCGCTCAAGCATCTGAGGCTCTTCAGAAGCTTCAAAATGAAGTGTTTAGACTTTCGAGAGCAAACAGGGTGCTGAACGAACAAGCATCTGCCTCCACTGCTACTAAAGAGTGTGAACTGGATACTGCTAAGGCACGAACTTGCATTCTAGAGAGCAGTGTCAAACTTGCTAAATAAGACGGATTGGAGAAGGCTCAGACCATAGAATGCTTGAGGAATGAATTATTCTCTACTCAGAAACTTCTTGCCGAGTGGAACCAGGAAATTGTTCTACTGAAAAATGAAGCTGAGCGGATGATGAACGAACATGCTAGCATGGAAAGCAAACTGAAGTCAAACTCTGCTGAGTTGAACCGAACTATAGAAGTTGTTCGAAAACTGAACAAGGGAAAAGCAGACCTGAATGAACTTCTTTTCTTGAAAAGACAACATGGAGATCTCACTGGAATAGGGTACACTGGTAGAGAAGACTTTCCTGAGTCCTCAACTGATGCTTCAAATTCAAAACATACTCGTCTTGGATTTGGTGACAAACCTGGAGTTGGAGGCTTGAACCTCCACGGGAGACCTTCCAGAAACGTGTTTGACAGGTTTGTAAAAAGCACTGTAAGTAAACCTTCATCTCCACAATCTGCCTTGAAGGTACATTCTCCCAAGCAGAAATCTGTTATTAATACTCACCATAACTTTGTTCCTATCTGTCATTACTGTGGTGTAACTGGTCACATAAGACCTAAATGCTATAAAATGCAGCATGATCTTTGTACAGGAAAAGTTAGGAGTTGGAATCAGTCTGGCATTCCAGTGAAGGTCCACCCCAGGAATCTCCCAAATAATCGTACCAAAACGCATCAAGTGTGGGTTGCTAAGAAATCCTTCAACTGTTTTGCATCTGCTCTGTCCCTCAGGACTTCTCTAGAAGGTAAATGGTATCTGGACAGCGGCTGCTCTAGACACATGACTGGTGAACCTTCATACTTGATGAACATTCAATCTAGTTCAAATGGGGAAGTCACATTTGGTGATGGAGTGAGCAATAAGGTTATTGGAACTGGTTGTTTAAATTTGGGAGGAATACCTAAACTAACTGATGTGTTACTTGTTGATAAGCTAAAGGAAAATCTTTTGAGTGTGAGTCAACTCTGTGATCCAGGCCTCAGTGTCAGTTTCTCATGTGGTAAATGTTATGTGAAAGACAGTGAAGGTTCTTGTGTTCTTACAGGTTCTCGTTTAACGGATAACTGTTATCTTGTTGATGTTAATGAAAAATGCTTTTTGTCAAATGTGAGTGAACCTGAAATATGGCATCAACGCTTAGGGTACATTGGATACTCTCACCTTGTCAAATTGACTAATGCAGGTGTAGTCAGGGGTGTTCCAAAGATTGCTGTGAAGGACCAGCCAATTTGTGAACCTTGTCAGCTAGGTAAGCAAACGAGGACATCCCACAAGGCACTGAACTATATTGCTTCTAAACAGATCCTAGAACTTCGTCACATGGATCTCATGGGGCCCATACAGGTAGAAAGTTATCAAGGTAAAAAGTACATTTTTGTGTGCGTTGATGATTTCTCTTGATATACTTGGGTTGATTTTTTACGTGAAAAGTCTGATACATTCTCTGCTTTTAAGTCACTTTGTTTGAAGGTTCAGACTGAGAAAGGTTTTCCCATAATAAGTATTCGAAGCGATCATGGAAGAGCATTTGAAAATTCCGAGTTTGCTGAATTTTGTGATTCTCTTGGTATTAAACACGAGTTCTCAGCTCCTACAACTCCTCAGAAAAATGGAGTTGTTGAAAGGAAGAATCGCACTCTACAAGAGATGGCCAGAGTCATGTTGAACTCCAAAAACATTTCTTCCAGATGGTGGGCTGAGGCAATCAATACAGCATGCTATCTCGTGAATCGTGTGTACCTTCATCGAGGTATTAGTCTGACTTCATATGAACTCTGGAAAGGTAAGAGTCCTAATCTTAGTCACTTGCATATTTTTGGGTGTAAATGTTTTATCTATAATGATCGTGCCCAACTTGGGAAGTTCGATGCAAAACTGGATATTGGATTCTTTCTTGGTTACTCTAACAATAGGCGAGCGTATCGTGTTTACAACACTAGTACCTCCACTGTGATTGAGTCCATAAATGTTATTTTTGATGAACAAAATTCTCAAGTTAGTTCCTCTGTATCCTTTGATCAGCTTGAAAATGTTGAGGCTTTGCAGGATACTCAGCATGTTAAGAGTTCTACAGACAAGGAGATAGCTGAACCTTCTGTCGAGAATGCTGAAGCATCAACTGACTACATTGTCTCTGCGACCCAAGGAGGTTCTAAGTTACCTAGGCGTGATCCTCCATTAAGGGTTTAGAAATATCATCCACCCAAGCAAGTCATTGGTGACATAAACGAGAGAGTCACTAGGAACTCGAAGACGTCAGTCAAAGAACTTATGGGTGTCTCTCAATATGCTTCCTACACCTCACTCCTTGAACCCAAGAATGCTAATGAGGCCCTGAAAAATAAGTGCTGGATCTTAGCCATGCAGGAGGAACTGGAACAATTCGTTAGAAACGATGTCTGGGAGTTAGTACCTGAACCTTCATCGGGAAATGTTATCGGAACCAAGTGGATCTTCAAAAACAAAACTGACGAGTTCGGGTATGTGACCCGGAACAAGGAGAGACTAGTTGCTCAAGGCTACACTCAGACTCAAGGAATTGATTTTGATGAAACCTTCGCCCCTGTTGCTAGACTTGAATCGGTACACATATTTCTATCTATTCCATGTCTAATGAAGTTCATTGTCTACCAGATGGACGTGAAGTCTGCCTTCCTGAATGGGATACTACATGAAGAGGCTTACGTGAAGCAGCCTGAAGGGTTCAAAGATCCCAAGAATCCGAATCATGTCTACAGGTTTAAGAAAGCATTGTATGGATTAAAACAAGCTCCTCGTGCGTGGTATGAACGCCTTACCATGTACCTTCTGGAAAAGGGATTCAAGAGAGGAGGAGTAGATCAGACATTCTTTGCTCTACGAACGAATGAGGACCTACTGGCTGTTCAAATCTATGTTGACGACATCATCTTTGGATCAACATCCAAGCAGCTGGTCAATAACTTTGTGAAACTTATGCCGTCTAAATTTGAGATGACTCTCGTCGGTGAACTTTTGTACTTTCTTGGACTTCAGGTAAAGCAAGGTAAAGATGGTATCTTCTTGCATCAGGGTACGTATGCAAAAAACCTTGTTAAAAAGTTTGGCCTTGAAAATGCTAAATGTCCTCAAACTCCCATGGGCACTCATGTAAAAGTGTCCAAAGATGATGAAGGTTCATCGGTTGATCAAACTCTATACAGAAGTATGATTGGTAGTCATTTATATCTCACTACTAGTAGACCTGACATTTTATTTAGTGTTTCATTGTGTGCCAGGTATCAAGCTGCCCCCAAGGAATCACATATGAAAGCAGTCAAGCATATCATAAAGTACATTGGAGGTACAACCGAGTATGGTCTATTCTATTCTGCTGATACGAACTTACATCTTGCAGGTTATTGTGACGCTGACTGGGCTGGAAATCTTGATGATCGAAAAAGCACCTCTGGTGGGTGTTTTTACATAGGATCAAACTTGGTATCTTGGTTATGCAAGAAACAAAACTGCATCTCCCTTTCTACTGCTGAAGCCGAGTACATTACCGTTGGAAGCTGCTGCTCTCAGTTGGTATGGATGAAATAGATTCTATCTGAGTATGGTATGAACGTTCAGTCGGCTCAACTTTTCTGTGACAACACTAGTGCTATAAATATTTCGAAAAATCCTGTCCAACATTCTCGTACCAAGAATATTGACATTCGTTATCATTTTATTCGTAATTTGGTAGAAGATGGGATTATTGTGTTAGATCATGTACCTACAGATGATCAGCTTGATGATATTTTCACTAAGGCTCTTGATTCGAAACGATTTTTGTCCCTGAGAAAATCTTTAGGAATGTGTGCTATGTGATTTGTGTGCATTGTGTCAGTTGCATTTATATATATATATATATATATATATAGAGTGTCTATTGCATATAGGGCCTTTTCTTTTTTTTAGCATCTCAGTATGTAGGTTCATCCCTAGAATTTTTCTCTGATCGTTTATTGTTAAGTTTGTTGATTGGTGGTCTGTGAATTCTAGTTGGTCAGTTTGTAAGAGCTCGTCATGATGACCATTTTAACATACTTGTAAGAGCTGCTCTCGTGAAAACAGGCATCGGGCAACTATCACATGAGGTGCTTCCTTGATCACCTGTGAAACGAGTTACGTGTCTAATAATAATCGAGGTGTGATAGCTACAGGTAAACATTCTAAGAATGAACGTTCTCTGGTGAAATAAGGTTGGCCATTCTGATATCTTCTCAGCTTGTTCAAAATTAAACTTTTTGAGGGATGATTCACACCTCAAGTAATGGGCTTGACATTGGCGTATAGTTAATGTTAGTAAGTGAATTGGTGTGGAAGTTCATAGAACGGAGTAAGTTCATCATAAGTATTGGGGCTGAATTGCGAACGAAAATTTCGTTTTTTGCTAAGAGAAAGTGATGAACGAACTTATATTAATTTTGTGTTGTATAAAAGTGGGAGCAATAAGGGCTGAGTTGTGCACGAAGGAAATTTATTTTTCTCATCATCTTGTTAGTGTCGAGCTCGTCTCAAATTGATTTGGGGAGATTTTTGGGTCAATCAGTTAATGGATTTTTTTCAATATTCATGAAAAGAAAGTTTTAGGTTTTGCGTGTTAAGTATCTATTTTAGGCATGTGCATCAGTTTTTCTCATGGCATATATTATTTTGATCCTGCACCCAAATTATTTTTGGTACATGATTTGGCCAATATTCGTGTCTGAAACTTCATATGTTATATATGGTAACCATGTTGCAACTTGGTAAAAAATCTTTTGGTTTTGGAGGGAACGGTTTTCTTTGCTGGCACTTAGTGTTGGTAAAATTGAATTTCAAATCTACCGAGTTGAACCGTTTTCAAACCATCCTTGATAACCGAAATTGTAGTTCCCTATATCAATCATACCATCTTGTGCATCTCTCTCTCATATCTATTTCAATCTTTTATTTTAGTTATCTCTTCCATCTCTCTAACATTCTTTCTTCTGAAATTCCCTATTTTTCGACAATGCCTAAATCCAAGTAGGGCACCGTGAAGCCGAAGAAGAATGTTCCTCCGCCATCTCGGCGCTCAACTCCTCAAAGCCAAAGTTCCCATACTCCACCAGATCATCCTTCCACCATGGAAACTGATAACATTCAACCTCCCGTCAAATCCACAGCTAGGGTTTCTCCAAGCCGTAAAAAATCCTCAGCGACTAAAGCTTCTCAACCTGAAGTCGCCGAACCCCTTGACAAAGGAGGAAAAGGTTCTCTGTCTGTCGTCAAATCTCCAAAGAAACGCAAGAAGGTCGCTGAAACCGTTTCACCCAAAACTAAAAAGGCAAAGAAAGTCGTTCATGTGCCTGAACCTGCTGCTGGTACTCCTTCTCACATGAAATCTGGAGGAGAGCCATCTCCGGATTCTGATGCTGATTCTATTGAACGTGAGGTTACCAACTATGTTGCTGAACCTGAGAAATCTGACAACAAAGATGCTGCGGACATGGAACTTTCTCCTCTTGAAAAAGAACAAATCGTTGTTGAAGTCGAGGGTGATGGTCCAGACAGTCCTCTTACTGTTGGTAATGCATTTTCTCGTCAGTTTTATTCTCCTTTGGCTGAAACACGCTTTTCTACCATCTTTCCTCAAATGAGGTTTTGTCCTGGGCGGACGATTGATAGCGAACACTATGAACAACTTGGGTTGATTGAACTTCTGAAGAAAGTGGGTCTTGAAGGCTCAGTTACGTCTGTTGGAAAGTATTGTCCCAGGCTTGTTGGTGAATTTTATTCGAACCTGACTACCGCTGTCATTGATTCGTCCTCAAAGAAGTTTCAGAAAGTGTTTGTGCGTAATAGTGTAGTTGAATTCTCTCCGTGTGTTGTGAACTTTGTACTGGGTTTAGCTGAAGGTTCCTCACTTCGTCCTCTGACTGATGAT